GGGGGGAGGGAGAGAGAGAGGCGGGGAGGACGACCCGACGTGAGAGGGAGGGCCTTTAGCTCCACTCATTACCCGCTTAATTGATACGTGAAGGCCGCCGCCGCAAACGACACGAACCCATGCGCAATGGGCGCACTCACACACTCTCACCCACACGCACACACTCGCCGTCCCCGCGCTTAGCGATCCCTCCGCTGACGTAGACTTAGCGTCCTCACGGTGGTGCCGGCGCTAGTCGAACACTCTGTAGTAACGTCACTCTGGCTTCGTGAGTGTTTTCATTTTCTACTGAAATGAATACTAAAAGTCGACTACACTGTGTACCCAGCCGAGCGGCGGCGGGCCACGGTGGTGGCGGCGGTGGCAGACCCACGGCACTGACAAGTCGATGATTGCGTCATTATAAGCTGAGGCATCAACAGCGCAGAGCGAAAAAAATTATTAGGTACAGTAGTTCTAAAAGCTCTGCTGCCGATATCCGCGTTTTATGTATATGACTCGACGGGTGGGTCGTTCGTTTCCCGACGCATCGTATAGACGGCGGCCGCCGCCGGCTCTGTGATCCAGAAATAGTCGCAACTAAACACCAGTTTTCTTACGCGTGATACACCGGAGACCGAAGTGTGTGAATGTTGCACACTTGTAGGTGTGTGAACGCTATTCGTGCACATGGAGGCAAAAGCGTCTGAATTTCAAGGGACAATTAACGCCTCTAATCCCATTCATTGTACGAATGGCCATTACCAACCAACTGTGTGACATTTACACAGTTGCGTTTACAGTATTCTTTCTTCACTTCAGTCCCGTGGGAGGTCACCCTGTTCGCTTTGGCAGTGTACCGAAAGCAAAGGATCAAACGGCAATGGAGGCGAATCAGGTTCTGATGACCCGGTCCGGCTCCTGCCTGCTCTCGACCCGCGGGGCCAAGCAGTCGCTCGGGGAGTCCGACACCAAGGTGACACGGCGGCGGCGGCGGCTCTTCCCGATAAGAGGAAGGGGCCTGGTGCTCCCCCCACCGCCACCCCCCTTCAGTCTCTTACCCCCAATCGAGTGTCGAGGCGAGGGAGACAAAGCCGGGGCGCGAACGGGGTGCAAGGGTTCAAGTCAGGTGCACCTCACCTCGGAGCACTTGAAGCTTGAGGGGCGCGCATCAAGAGCTCACCGGTAAGGCGGTGGCGGCGCGATAGCGCACGTGTGACAGACCCTCGTCGTGAGCTGTGAGCGTGGACACTGGCTGTTGCTGCCCTGCCGATGATTTTAAGTTTTTAGTTACGAGTACACTACTTTTGGTTGGGAAGGCCGAGTCTATCAGATCTTACCAAAACAAATAAAAGCGCCCGACCCCACAAAAATAAGGCGCCACGAAATCGAAAGTGTGTGCACGCCTCTAGCCCAAAGTTTTACTGGAAAATGACAGGGTACTTTTCCCTCAACAGATCGGGCAGATAAAGGTGATTGCCTTCTTCTTCTCCTTCTTCGTCTTCCCCTGCGCCCTAAAAGTCTTCTCAGTGAGGTGCCGAGCTATGGGCTTGGGCTGGCTGAGACGAGATGGGAAACTGGTCGGTGTGGAAAAGGTCGCCTCCCTCGGCCCGGCCCGGCAGGCGGGCGC